GATTCAGTTATTAAAGGGTTTATGAATTTCAAATGATAGTTTAATTGATCTTGACTTATTGCTTAACTTAGACTAAGAAATTAATAATCAATTAGCATATATCTAGCCAAGAAAAATATTTACATAGGCTCAATAAAATAATGATTAATTTAGATTGATTCATAGTAATAATTGAGAGAATAAAAATCTTTTTTTGAGAAAGACATATTCTAAAATAAAATAAATAATTACTATTGATATAAATATGATTTAATTTATGAGTGCAAAAGCAAAAAATCCAAATAATTTGTTTAATAAAGGGATAAATGTGGTAAAATTATTTAATTAATTAATAAGAGTATATTTTCGATAATAAACTGATTTTCTTAAACCAGCCATTGAAGATGCTTGTGAACCTTCGAAAACAATATTATCTTAATTGATTTAATCATGATCATAAACATTTCCTAATATTTACACTGTTTTATTTTCTATATCAATAATATTTGATTCACTATAATTATATATTTTTACTTTTTCTTCATTTCCTAACTAAATTTTGAATTCTTGTGCTTCATTTAAAATTCTGACATCTGTTTTTCTTTGAGTTTGAATAACTAAATGTGAAGAGAGAGGATTCTATATAGAATATTCATAAGGATGATCAATTAATTCTTCATCATTAATTTACAAATCTTTAATAATTGGTATAACTGTGTCAACTGAACCTACAAGATTATTTCGTTTATTTTCTAATATTTTCTTAAATTTTATTATTTTATATGTTTTTCTTTTGACTATATCATAACTTACTTCATATTATTATAATTTCTAATTATTTTTTAATTATGCTATTTTTTATGCATTTGTTGAAAATTCTTGTTAGAAAAATGAATCTTTAGGAAAGTGAAATTAAAAAATATATTAATTTTATGTTCCATCTAAAATATCATTAGAAATAAATAAATCTGCTTACAAATTATAAAGAGATTTTTCTATTGATAATTAATCAATTATTTTAGGATTAAAATTTAATTACTTGAATAATTCTTTATTTATTCCTTAAATCTTATTTGTTTAATCAATCAATATTATTGGATCTGATTATTCTTAAAAGTTTAGAAATGTAATAAAACGAAAAGATTGATTATTATCAAAATAAAGATCAAAAAAAAATTCAACATCTTAAATAAATCCTGATTTAAGCTAACAAATATTAAAGCCTACTTATCTAAAATAGTTTGCTTTTCCATTTTATAAAAACTCTTCAATATATTGATCATGTGTATCTCTTATTATTAGCGGAATTAAAGGAAAAGGAGAAATAATTAACTCAAATTATTTTTATTAATAACCAAATATTATTGGAGTTTACTTAGAATAAGAAATAATTTTAAGTTTTCTATCATCATATGAATATATCATATAAGCCATTTTATTAACCAATCTATTCAAATCAATATCTGTAACAATACTTAATATTGAATTATCAATAGCATTTATTTATAATTAATCAAATGCTTTTTTCCAGTCATATTTTATTTCAGCATAAAAGAACATTAATTAAGATTAATTTCTTTAACTAGGAAATTGATCATAAATTGATTTCAGTATTTTTTCTTGTTTTTCTATATTTTCCATCAAATTATAATATGAAAAAATAAAATCATTTTTGCTGCACTATTTAACAACAAGCTATTGTAAAAGCAATTTTTCTTGAATGATATTAATCAAACCATCTTTAATACTTTAATTAAAACTTTCAGATTATATAAATTGATTTATTTTTAAGGATAACTTAGTTTTATCCTAATGATTTCCATCTAATTTAGCTGTCAAATTAATATATAAATTCTGTTTAATCATCATAATAAAGAATTTCCATTTGATTTTTTAGAAATAAGTTAGACTATTTAAAATTTATTTATTTTCTACTTAACTATATATTTCATAAACTTCTCCATGATATTATTAAGCTTATAGGAAATGAACTAAATAATAAAAACAATCTTTTGGGTCTTGAGTTTAAAGCAATTTTTTCATTCTAACAACCAATTTTGAATAAAGCTCTTCCTTAATGATATCTGGAATTACAAACATTTTATTAGTATTACTAGAGCTTTAATCATAAGTTCTACACAAGCATCCAATATTTTAACATTCTTAAGAATGCTTAGATAAATATATGGAATTTAAAATACAAGTTTATTTTAATTTTAATTTTTAAGTTGTCAAAGATGAACATATCAAATTATTCACTTCAAATAAATTTAATTTTTAATAATTCGCCGTTAACAATTAAAATTTTTGCTAATTATGTACATAAACACCAACATATATTAAAAAAGGTGATAAAAGTATCAAATATATCATTGGTTCAGAAATTTGAGTGATGGAACTTATAGCAATAATTAAACCACATGAGTCAGTAATTAATAAAATCAAAATTTAATTATTGTTAGAATAAGCTCTATATATATATAGTGAAATAAGTTCTAAGAATGTAATTATCAAAAATATGATTGATTGACCATAGATTGCAAAATTGAGAGGACTAAATATAAAAATACAAGGCTGCATAATTTGTAATATAAATATGCAGTAGTCTTGGAATGTAACTTAAAGTTTCTTGCATTACCCATTCTTTAAAATTAAAGTCCCTTCAAAGAGAACAAAATAAAACAGCAAAATTAAAAGGATAATTATTAAATAAACAATGTCATTAATAATCCAAGCATAATTCTCTGATTAAGTTGAATTTTATAAATTATGGAGAACAATTATTAAAATAGGTTGTTAAAATGCAA